CACCTTAGGTGTATGTGGCTGGCGCCTTAGCCGGTTGAGCTATAGGCGCCAAGCCTGAAATTTTTTTTAAAGACAGACTCTCACTCTGTCGCCTTCGGTAGGGTGCTGTGGCATCACTGCTCACAGCAATCTCCAACCCTTGGGCTCAAGTGATTCTCTTGCCTCAGCCTCCCAAGTAGTTGGGACTACAGGTGCCTGCCACATCGCCGGGCTATTTTTTGTTACAGTTTGGCCGGACCGGGTTTGAACCTGTGGAGCCACAGGCACCGCCTGGTATTCTATAGTTTTACAACACTATATTTAGGACTTGGGTTTGCTCAATCAGAGTATACCCAGAATGGGTAATACATGTTACAACTTTGGTTTACATATACAAAGTGAAGTATGATGACAGATTTCAATTTTACCTAGTCAGCTAGCTTCAGATTCTGTTGTTCTGCTTTTACCTCCCTGCATTAGTTTCATTGGTTAGTATACTCGGTCAAGTACAATATTTGTGCAATTATAAAGCAAATTCAACAGGCCTAAGTGACAAGTTAATGCTATGAACCATTCAGTATTTTATCTTAAATTACTGTTGTAATAAACAATTGACTGTTTCATTAAAGTGTTTTCTTCAAAATATTTCAGAGAAGGATATATAAAACAACAACTCACGTACCACCCGAGTTAGGACAGATAATGGATTCTGAAACATTTGAGAAATCTCGACTGTATCAATTGGATAAAAGTACTTTCAGCTTCTGGTCTGGACTTTATTCTGAAATTGAAGGCACTGTGAGTAATTTACTTCCTGGAGACCAATTGCTTAATACTTTGTAATGTTTGTTTTCATTTTGTATTTTTGTGAGAAAAGAGGCTATTGTACCTATAAGCCCCAGAATATTTTCTTAGCCTTTGTTATTGATAATAAAGGGTATGGAACAGAAGAGGCAGAAACATAATTGTTTAGTCAGTTGAAAATTATAGAGAATGTGGTAACTGTTGCCAATGATCCTATTTCTTTTTTCTTTTTTGAGACAGAGCCTCAAGCTGTCCCCCTGGGTAGAGTGCCGTGGCATTACAGCTCACAGCAACCTCCAACTCCTGGGCTCAAGCGAGTCTC